TTACTTATTTTGATACCATGTTTTACATTCTGTTTTTTTTTTTCTTTTTTGGCGCAGGGAAGAACTTGATAACCTTTATGCTGCCTTCCTGGTTAAAACATGAGGTGCCAAAAATATAGCACTGGTGAGCATTTAGCCCAAGCTCAAAATGGCAAATGTGCATGATTCCTGGAAGCCTGCACACATATTACTTATGTAGATTAGCAGAGATTTGTGTAAGAGCATAGAACGAAGCAAAGTGACTACTAAACTACAGCATTTAATGTTCCACTGAGCTCAGGCTACAATGCCTGATTACTCCTTGGCAGTCATTTGCACAGCTGGAGACAAAATGAAACTTACAGCAACATTTTACCAAATTAGTGCCATGGGAGACATACATTTATGAGAAGGTTTACAATCTAAGAAAGTGAGAAATTTCTCTGATAAAACTAGCTGGAAACAGTGCATAAAAATAAACCCAAACTGGTGGTCAGGCAAGGAATTTGCAATGAGAGAAGTTGCTGTCAAAGCAGCTTTACCTGTGGGTCTGCAAATGATAAATCTGACCCAAGTTTCTCTGAGCACTTCTTGGGAGTTCTGGTGAGCTTCATGTATGTCACTAGAGGTAAAGACCACACCTCCCGCCACAACTGCTTAAATACAGCACCGACCTATGTAAATTGCAGAGAAGTGATGAAGGAAGACATTCAATTATCCAAATGCAGATACTTGGTGCCATTTAAATGCTGTAGGATATTCAAGACATCTGTCTGGGGCTTTTAGACTTAATAGGGAAGACAGGGAAACTTGCATCCCAACTGAATGACAGCAGCTAAGAAGTGGACATACCTTAGGTTAACCAAATGTGATTTGCAATCTCACTCATTTTGCACAATATTTGCTATACCAAAAGCCCTGAGAACATGGCCCCCGCGAACCTGTTAATAGGTGGGGTAGGAAGACAGAGCCATTGCAAATACATGAAATCCATAGAGGCACAATGTGCAGTAGGATATGCAGGGATGTAGTGACAACTGTGAGGCATGTTGAGAGCATTCAGCTTCTCACACGAGCCTTAGTTAGCTAAGAGGGACTGACCTACGTGGAAAACTGACATGGTTACTCCAGTTCCAAAGACTGGACTTTGGAATGTTCAGGCTCCCCTCCCAGCTCTGACAGTTGTCCCAGTCTGGTACTGGGGAATTACATTAAACTATCTTTATGTATCCAAATTTATACTCCTTAAAATGAATCTGATATTCACCTCTTACACAAATGCTGCAAAGACAAATGCTTCTACTTTGTGTATATGTCAAGGTGTGGGTTAAGGATGCTGAAGTTGTAGGAAGTATGGTTGAAGCATTTTGAAAACAATTTATGAATCAATCAGAAAGATGGCATTAAATAAACTCAGGGTTTTTATATATTAATTTTTGTGAGTGATGTGACAAAGTACTCTTCAAAAGTGGAGGTAACCATTTTCTGGATTAACCAATGGTTTCCACAATCTAAAGAGATCATTTTTCCATTATTTGCATTTCTTAGGCTAGGTAACTTTTTTTCACTTCTTTTCAAGGAAGTAATATAACTGCAGCAGGAGAGCAGCTAGTGTAAGTGCTGGGCTTTCTAGTCACCTAAGCCATGACCTGATAAGCAATATCTTCCATTTCTATTGTCTCCTGTGAACTGTTGTGAGAATGAATTTTAAACCAAAGTCTATTAAAATTCCTAAGTTGTAGACTGAACAACCAATTCAGAACTGGTTACATAGCAAAGTCGTCAC